CTGATGGACCTCCTGGCCGCACAGGGCAGTCCTGCCTGGGCAGGTTTGCTGCCTGATGGGAAATGATGGCAGAGAAACGGACTCCTGAGGGGTGGGGCTCGTTTGAGGCAGGAGGGAGCAATAGATGTTAGCTCACTCTCTGATCTTGCTGCTGCTTTTCTTAAAACTTTATGGAATTACGAGAATTCTACTTTTGGTACATAAAATTAATCTGCATTTCTGTATACTTTTCAGTTTTGCAGTACTCGTGATTTCCAAGAGCTTCATAAGTGACGTTTTGATTTTAGTCAACTCTGTGGTCCTCAGAACCCACCTTCTGCTCAGTTTGTGCCGTTTGTTGTTACACAGGAAAATAATGCTACCAGTGGTCCAAGCAGCAGGCATTGCATCACTCCCATTTAAATGTGTTGTTTTGTTTTTCCAGAAAACACTTTGCAAGATAACATTCTGACAAGTAACACAGCTGCGTGTTTTCAAGACTGTTGGAGGGGTGCCTGTCCACATTTTACAGTACCTGTGCCTGAGAATTTAATTTTTTAAAAACTTTTGATGTGTTATTTTGTATGAAGTACTTTAACATTTATATTTCATTATGTTATACTTTACATTTTGTGAGGTTAACTTTCCATTTCCATTTTTTGTCCACCTTAACTGACCACTAATGTTAGAATTGATTCCCAGGGACCAGTCAGCACGTATAGTTAATAGTTGAATTTGATTTGGCTGGCCTAACCGACTAATCATGATTTATTTCTAGAACATTCAGATTTCCCAGAATGTTCCTGAGTAGCAGAGACATGGACCTAGTGACACAGGAAGACGAGAGCTGCCCTGGTCCCGGCCATTTCTCACCAAGTCACGGCACCTGGCTGGCCGTGTTGCTTTGCTTGAGCACAACACCTAAAACCAGCTCTGCTGCTGTAACTAACACTGTTGGTCCATCTGCACATGTATCTGTTTACCAAACGAAACAGAATTACCCAGTGAGATACATGTTTATACTTAAATAGCTTTTTTAAAAACAGGCTTTTAGGGGTGAATTTTTTAACAAGTCTTTGGATTCTTGGGTCTATGCAGAGAACTCGCCACAAGCCACTTTCTGTAGAGTTTGCCGTGAAAAATCAAAGTATACGTGAGCTGCAGTTTTCATGTTGCAACTAAGATTCTTACCTACACAATGAGAGTCAAACTATTTTTATTCAACTAAATTAAAAAATAACTTTTTAAGGAAAATTAACAGTTGATCTGTGCAGAAACCAGCCTTTTTGTATTTTTATACTGCACTTAAATGTGTTTTCTCTAACTGCAGGTATAGGAGACGTGCCTCAGCAGTGAAAATAAGGGTCCCCGGGTGGGTGGCCCCGAGGCCTCAGCCCCGTGGGGCCCAAAATGCCTGCCAGGTTTTCCTGATTTGGCGTCCCTTTAACTGATGCTTTCCTGGCTGGTTTTCAGGCAAATAGCAGTAATGTGTGTGCGCAGGCTGTCTAGTCCTTTTTCAGCCACTGTCATTTCCTTCCATGTATCGTGCGAGAACGAAGGCTATTTCAGGTCTGCACCGTGGGCTGGCTGACGGGTGCCGCCAGTTGAAGCCGCATCTGGTTGGTTTCCTGTGCCCGGTGGCCTTGGCCCTTTCCTGTCCTTGTAGCTGGTCTCCCTGTCGTGCACTCAAAGGGGCGCTGATGCACTTGGGGGTTGGCTTTTTTCCAGCATTGCTGCTGACGTGGGGAAATTGGTCTCCAAAAAGTGACAGATGAAGGAAGATCTGGAGGGAGCAGGTGCTGGTTCAGTTTTCTCATTTTGCTAGAACAAGAGGGGTTAAAATGGAGAAAATGCTTATTACTCCAAGGACGAGGAGGGGGTTTTGTATTCAACAGACAGAAAAGAAAATGAGATGGTTGAAATATATTAGTTACCAAGGTGTACTACAGAAAATCACTGGGTGTTCTCCTGACTTTGCCCTTTCACTGTTGGGTAATTGCAAATGGTCAAGAGCTATAGGTTTAGGCACATTGTGCAAAGTTTTTACCAAGAAAAAGTGTTCCATGACCTTAGGGCCCCTCCATGCAAGGCTAGTTATTTGGGTTATTATGTCATTTATTAACTATGCTAGTAAAAGCTGTTTTTAAAAAGGGGTGGGGTGTGGCAGCACTTGAAAAGTAGTAGGTGTAAGCTCTATATAGTAAAACTACTACTTAGTGCTAGCTGCCACCTAATGGTTATGGGGGTGTGGGTGGACCTACACTGTAAGACTTTTAAATTCCCGTTTGTTTTGCTGCCCGAATCTAAATACTTTTCCTAATAGATAATTGCCCTTTTACTAAGATATAAGCTTTACCTATAAAAATGTATTTTGAAAACTTATTTTACACAGCAATTTTGTATCCATTGAAACTAACCTTTTACCAATAAAGCACTATTGTTTAGATATTAAGTGAGTAGTTCTCGTTATTGGCTCTTAACGAGGTAAAGGTGTAAGGTTTTCTGGGAAAGATTCAGAGAAAGCCCTGCGTTTTCTGTGTATAAAAATCCGGAGGGGGCTTCCCTGGTGGCACAGTAGTTAAGAATCCGCCTGCCAGTGCGGGGGACACAGGTTCGAACCCTGGTCCAGGAAGATCCCACATGCCACAGAGCAACTAATCCCGTGCGCCACAACTCCTGAGCCTGTACTCTAGAGCCCACAAGCCACAACTACTGAAGCCCACGTGTCCTAGAGCCCGTGCTCCGCAACGAGAAGCCACCGCAATGAGAAGCCCGCGGCACCGCAACGAAGAGTAGCCCCCACTCGCCGCAACTAGAGAAAGCCCGCGCACAGCAAACGAAGACCCAATGCAGCCAAAAATAAGTAAATAAACTTTTTTAAAAATCAGGAGGAATTATTTGCACCAACATCTGTACCCAACAACTCTGTATCGGTGATCCCAGCCCAAAAGAGCAAGCCATAAAGATTGGAAAGGAAATAGTTACAGGGGAATCTGATCATCTACTTAAAGTGAATGATAAAAATGACCACTAGTGAGAGTTCAGTGATGTCTGCCCACTAAATAGAAAATGTGGGGAAGGATCTCATTCACTGTAGTAACAACTACTAACTTATTAGAAGAAATATTGAAAACCTGGACTGTAAGCCTGATGTGGGTGGCTGGCCGGCCCTCTGCCCACTCCACTGACCACCCCAGGGCCCCTTTACTTCTTTCTCAGTGTCTGCCTAGAACCCTGTCTCTGGTTCCTTCTTTCCAGGTCCCTCCCTCCCCCAGGTCCTGCACCTCTGCCTCAGGCCCTCCAGCATACACCCCGCAGCCTCTGACCAGGCTTTCCCCCTGCGGGGTCCCCACTGGCGCTGCTCACCTGTCGGGGTTCCGTGCCGAGGGGTGTGTGTGCCACCCTGGGAGCAGCGAGAACAGCGCCTGGGTTCTGACATCGGGGCTGCCGGTGGTGTCGCTGGGGGCCAGTTAGAGGAAAACCTCCGAGGGAGCGACTGGGGACAGGAGTGCCCTTCTGAGTCTCGAATCCGAAGCTGCCCCGCGGGGAGCGGCTGTTCCTGCTTCCTTTGGGAAACGTAAGGGGTCGGGGTTTTGATCCGGTGGCCAGAAACCTAGGAGTCCCTCCTAGATGGGTCCGGGTCCATCCTCGGTTTACTCCCTAGACAGACGCGCGGGGGCTCGCGGGCGCGCTCCTGGCCTGCCCCGGGAGGCGCGGGGACGGCGGCGGGGGCCAGGACCAGGGCAAATTGAACCGGGTCTTGAAGGATGCGTAGAAGTTCGCTGAACCTCTTCGAATAAGGTGCGTGTGCTGCTGCTAGTCGCGGGCCTGGGGGCTCCGGACGTGGTGTCACGTTTCCATTTCCGGGTGGGGGCCACAAGGCTAGAGGAGGACTGTGAAGCCTGGAAGGGCCTCGGGCCTCGCCAGCACGGCCCGTTTCCTCCTCAGCACATCCTCACGGGGCTATCGGTGCCCGTAGGCCACACCAGTAGCCCCAGAAGGATCGCAATTGGTGGGTGGAGCAGGTAAGGGGAAGGCTGGCAGCCAGGGGCGGGGGTGGAGGGAGCCAGCAGATGGCCGTGCCGGCACCGCGCCCCGCCCTCCGAGCCGGACCCTGCTCTCAGAGCCGACGCCCCGCCCCCCTGAGCCGGCGCCCCGCCCCTCCCCGAGCCGGAACCGCGCCCCGCCCAGGACCCCGCGCCGCCCTGCCAGCCGAATATCTGCTGAATTGCATTGGACTCCGCGCTTGCCCTCTCGCCCTGCCTCCTCCGGTCCATTCACCAATCAGAATTCTGTGCCGCGCTTCTAGGCCGCGGCCGCGGAGGCCCCGCCCCAGAGTCCGCAGGCCAATCGGCGGCGCGTCCGCGGGGGCGGGGGCGGGGCCCTGGGCGGGGGGTAGGGACTGGGCGCGCGGCGCGGGGGCGGCCTACGGGCGGTCGCAAGCGGGCGGAGCAGACGAGGGATTTGAAGGGCGCTGCAGGCGACAGCGCGGGCTTGGCGGCTGGTGAGCGTGCGGGGCAGCGGGGCCCCGGTCAGGCAGGGGCCGGGCTGCGCCTCGGGGGTGGGCGGCGGAGGCCGTGGGCCGAAGCCCAGGGCAGGGCGGGCGCCTCCGGACGGCGGGAGGCCAGAGGAGTCCACGCCCGGGCTCAGAAGGCCTTACTTAGGGCGGCAGGCCCCGTGCGGGGAGGGCCGTGTGTGGGGAGCCTGCCCGCTGGAGGCCCGGGGTGGGCGGGAGGGTCCCGCGTGGAGGCGCCGGCGGCGGGCGGGGAGGGTCCCGCGCGGAGGCCCCGGCAGAGCCACAGGTGAAAGCTCGCGCCGCCTGAGACCACGCCCTTTTTGGCCTTTCCTTAGATTGTATCTTAACGCCGGGAATCGGTATTAGGTGTTAATGTTTTTGTTTTGTTTTTTGGTTTTTGTTTTTTTTTGCGGTACGCGGGCCTCTCACTGTTGTGGCCTCTCCCGTTGCGGAGCACAGGCTCCGGACGCGCAGGCTCAGCGGCCATGGCTGACGGGTCCAGCCGCTCCGCGGCATGTGGGATCTTCCCGGACCGGGGCACGAAGCCCTGGCTCCTGCATCGGCAGGCGGACTCTCAACCACTGCGCCACCAGGGAAGCTCAGGTGTTAATGTTTTTACTCCATGAAGTGTAGAACGGCTCCTCAGACAGTGGGGAGACTTCTAAAGGCAGACGGTGAAAGCTGGGGCTGGAATATGCCCCCGTTTCCGTTTACTATGGTGGCTGCAGCCTCTGGTGGCCTTTCGTGTGCTGGTCAGTAATTGCCGTGAAAAACAAATTCACACAAGGTGCGTTGAAGGAAATAATGTCAGTCCACAGTGAAAGGATGGGAAGATTTACATCTCAGGGTGGCTCTTCTCTGTACCTTTGCTCACGTCTGTGAGGGCGCTTCCGGCGGAGGACTGCGGAGGTGCTTGATGGGTGTCAGGAGCGTTGGACCAGCGGGCTGCTTGTGTGTGTGGACAGTGTGCAGTTTTCTCCTGCCACAGAGATGGGAGAGGACATTTGAGGTCAGCAGGCATGGAGTGACCTTTGCTGGTAGGCCACATCTAATGTTCATTGTCTGTATCGGCTGTTTTTTGAAAGTTTTTTATGAGTTCCTGTACACTACAGACGTAGCTCTTTGGGAAGGGTTGTGAAGCGCTTCACGCCCGTTATTTTATTTGGTTCTCTCACAATCTGCAGAGGAGACGTGCCCAGGCCCCGTCTGGAAGCAGAGGAGCGGGGTGACCGGTTTAGGGTCACACCCTGGCCCTGCTTCCCCCGTGCTCCTGCTTTGTTGCAGATTCTCCGTGAGCAGTTCACACTGAGCTGTTTGGACCAGACGCTGACAGGAGCTGCAGAAGTTTACTGGCTCATTTACATGCATGGGCATCCTTTCCCAAAAGGGAAGTTTGTATGATACATTCATCTATCTCTGCCTCAGGTTCCCTATCAGCAAATGAGGTTACAGTTTACCTGCCTCATAGACTGGTTGTGAGGATTAAACATCAGTGGAAACGCTGTTAGCTAGATGCCTGGGACACAGTAAGTGCTTGACAAGTGTTAGCCATTATATTACCAGGTGGAAGAATGATCTGAGTAGACAGTAGAGAGAGAAGTACGCAGTATTTAAGCAGAATTATCCTGCTTGGAGGGAAGGATATGCACTGGATTGAGAAAGCAAAGGTGGATGCATGGGTAATTCCATGCAAGCTCTTTTAAATCCCCTGGGCCCCAAGGAATTCTGTTCCACTCCTTTCCAAACACTCCTGCCTCTAGTCACACCAGCACCTCCTCTATCCTGAGACGGTAACAGGTGTTTGTTGCTGCTGCTTTTGCCCTTTCAGGTTTGTTCCTGTTTTTTCTTCACCTGCTTTCGTATAAGCCTGCCACCTCCTCATTTGCTCAGGGGTCGTGAGCTTCCTGCACGCGGCTTGGCGTTAGGCGCAGGGAAAGGCCCCTGTAAAGCTGGATGTTGCGCCGAGGTCACTCTGGTGGTGCTCTCTGAGATCCCGTGTGTAGAGCATGATTGCACGGTAGCACATGTGTCAATTCCAGGTTTTACCTTGGCAACAGGGTGCCAGAAATGTGAGGGGGTTCCACAAAGCTTAATATGATAGAGGCCGGTGTTTGGTGGGTTTCTGGTGATTCTGTAAATTTCGTCTAATCTTTTTGGAGAGCAGCTAGCCGTATGTGATAAAGATTTTGATTTTGGAATCCCAGTTTGTTTTTGAAAACAAACTTTGATACATAAACTCTGCATGTCAGAGGGGTAGAGTACTCCTCAGCCAGCAGACATGCTCTGGCAATCTCCTTCCTATCCTTCCTTCCCAGCAAAATTTGAACCATTTTGATCCATGGAAATATGTTCAAAAACACGTCTTAACCAAAAAGGCGAGGTAGTTTGTACACAGCAATTATACGGATGTAAAAATGTGCGAGGACATGGGCAAGGATCAGAAGGGAAGGTGGAGTGATGTAAGTAGTTTTATTTTAGGGTCACAGGACTGTTTTCTCGCTAAGCTGGTGTTCTGGTTTATAGTCATTTTAAAATTCAAAAGCAGAAAGGCCCTCTGACGTTGTCGGGTGCAGTGACGAATCTTTCTTCATCCCCTCTCCCAGCTGCAGCACAGAAGGAGGTATGAGATTCCACCCAGACCTCTTAGGGGGGCCCTCGAGACCCCCACAGCCCGACCCACCGTGGGCATCCTCAGGGCCCCCGCCACTCTCAGCCCTGCCCAGCAGCCCCTGCCTGCGCACAGGCTGCTCTTGTCTAGCTGGTCTCCTGTCGCCCCGCAGGGCCCAGCTCCTGCTTCATCCCGGAGAGCCGTTGGCCAGGCTAGCCGCGCTGCCTTCCTCGGTGTTACCTCGTGCCTCCTGCCTTCCACTGCTGCGGCAGGCAGTGGTCAGGGCCACGTCCACAGTGGTCTCCCCTTCCAGATCATTGTGTACTTGCCACGTGGGGTCCCTTAAACCGGAGACGGGACAGCATGTGTGCGATGGGGGTTGTGAGGACCAGATGTGCAGACACCCGCTTTTTGCTGAGGTCTCCTCCCTCCCTCTCCACCTACCAGATTCCTGGAGGCTCCCTCACTTCACTTCCACATGGCTCTTACCGCCCTTTAACAGACTGTCTTCTTTGTCTTCTCCCACTGTCATGGGAGGGATTTCCTCCCTCTTACAGGCTCCCGTATCTTTAAGGACTTAGACTTGCTTGATACCGAGGCAAGGTGCTCAATCAGTGTTTGAACTAATCAAATTTTATCTGGGGCAAGGGCAGATGCCAACTTTTATGGGGCCTGAGACTTATCCAGTTTGGGGGAGGAGACCTCTTTAAGAAAATACAGTGTTACAAATAAAAATCAATTTGAAAATTAATTTGCAGATATTTATTTAGAATGAGAAAACGTAAATAAGGTACAGATTTGAAACAGCTGACCATTGATACAGGCATCACTAAATCCAGAAAGACAGCACATTTGTTAATCCTCTGACGCGCTTCTGTGATACTTCTCATTTGGCTGTGTACTTTTTAGTTGTCTCTTCGTATGACAGAGAATAGAAAGAATTCAGTGATTCCTCTAGCATGGCTGATCAGAAATCTTATTAGTGATTGTTAGGATGCATAAAACATGGTTTCACGCTTGCTGTTTCTAGCACGGCTATGTCTCGGAAAAGCAGGAATTCTGATAAATTCTGTTTTGCACAATTCCACTCAAAAACGTTAAAAAATCAATGGTGTATTTATAGTCATACTGCTACATTATAAATTTTTTTTTCTGACAGGCGAGAAGTGTAGTTTTGACTACTGAGTACCGAACTCTGCTTGCATTTTGACAAGTCTGGTGATGATTTTCCCACAAATGTGCGTCTGGCTCCCCGAGTTTCAAACCTTGCTCCTTTCCCAGGGCCCACATGCTTCCAGCACCAAGTGCCATTGGGTCTGTTCATGTTGCTGCAGGGCCTGGGCCCTGCACCTTTGTTCCGTAACCCTCCAGCACGCAAGCACGGGACTGGCAGTGGTGTTCCGGGAGCCATAGCTGCATTGTGAGGCGGGTGGTCACCTCAGTGTGAACACCTGAAACGTCTCCACTTCAGCCCAAACTAAGGGTGTCCCTGGCTCCTTGTGCTGGTAGCTGGGTCCTCTCCTGAGCTGCCTGACGTGGAGGGAAGGAGGGACAGAAACAGACTTGGGGTGGAAGGGGCAGCAGTGTTAGTCGATTGCAATTTGAATATGTTTTCGAATTTCCCAGAAGGCTGTGATCATGGCCGCACTTCACTGAGGGCCTTTCTTAGGACCTTGGCAGGCCGGTGCCAGGTAGGGGCCCAGAAACGAGGCAGAATGGCTTTAGAGTCACACTGCCGGCATAGGGGCAGCCTGTGGTCCGTTGCCTGGTGCCACACAACACCGTGGAGGCACGTGCGTGAGGGTGCACGGCGCCTCCTCCTGCGGCTGGCCGGATGTGTCTGGAAGCAGGAAGCAGCGCTGGCTGTTTTACAGCCGTTTAAATGACTGGGCGTGATTCACTTTACCTCCTGCGTCGTTCAGATCCCAGTTGCCTTGGTAATAGTTAACACAAGCTGAGTGTGGGGGGAACAAATCTCAGTGTCGCAACAAGAAATCAATTTTTTAAATTGATCTAAAGAGAGTGTTTTAAAATGTTAGTTTTTATTTTAACTGCACTATTTGAGAAGCAAGAACAAGCGCAACACCTAGAGGAGACGTGGGTGCTTACCCCGGCTCTCTCTTTGAAGGCGAGCGGGCTCGGCTGTAGGTGACCCCTGCCGTCGTCTGCCCGGAAGCCATCTGATTTCAGAAGTAGCGCACGTTCATCACGGTAGGCAATTCAAGAGATACAGGCGCCAGGAAAGAAGGAAATAAAAATCAGCCCTCTTCCCTCTCTCAAAGATGACCTCTGCAAACATGCTTTAAATGCATGGATGCCAAGTTCCGTTTGTGGGAAGAAGGAATGAGCCTCCTCCACCCTGTCTCTCCCGCTGACTGTGGCCACAAAGCTAGACAGCTGCGGGAGCAGCCCTGAGGACCCTGGCAAAGAAGTGGTGGCGGGCAGACAAAGGCCAGGGCCTGAAGTGCCTGCCGCAGGAGCACTGAGCTTCCTGTTCTCCCTCCAGCACCCCCGGTTCCCAGCGTCTTCAGGTGTCCGAAACCCGGAGCTGGGCTCCAGGGGCAGATAGGGAGGGCTGCAGGGGGAGCCACCCAGTTTGGGCTCTAGAGGGAGTGGGAGAAAGCCACCATTTCTTCTCTCTCTCCCTGTTCTCCAGCCAGGCCTGAGACACCTAAAACTCCAAGGGCTTTTTACTCTCTTTCCTGCAGCCTGGTCCCAGCAAGGGTGCAGTCCCAGGACGTGCACGGCAGAGCAGGGGAACAAGCCACAGTCCTCTGGCTGGAAGACTGAGAAGTAAGCCAGGGAGCTATGGGGGGGGGGGAGCTCAGGAGGTGACCCCCATGGAGGGAGGTGCTCAGGAGGTGACCCCTCACAGTTGCCAGTGAACTTGTGGGCTCGACACCGAGCTGTACACGCATGGGGCCGACCGTGTGCCACTTGCCAGAGGCTGTGGGAACTCAACTAAGGGGTCGACCACAGCCCGGGAGCCAGGCTGTCAGCTGGGTGATGGTGCACAGGGAGGATGGAGCCTCTGAAGGTGGAGCTGATGCTGAGACCACGGCTGCGGCCTGAACCCGGCAAGGCCCTGCTGCTGAAAGAGAAGTGCCACATTCCCTGTGGGATTTGAACAAGGCCAGAGGCTCATAACACAGTGTTTAAAATGTCCAGGATATAATCCAAAATTACCTGGCCTACACAGAACCAGGGAAATACCAGCTCACACGAGAAAAGACAGGCTACAGCTGAGATGATGCAGACATCGGAATTACCCGACAAAGACCTTGCGGTGGGCAGAATTTTGGCCCCCATGGCCGTCACCCCCTGGTGTTACTTCTGGGAACAGGTTATGTTACGTGGCAAAAGCACATCGACGAGGTTCCCTATGCGACACGACTGAACACTGTAGGCTCAGGAAGCAGAGCCCAGCGCTGCCCTCCCAGCGCCTCCCCCTCCCCCTGCCCCCAGAGGAAGGTCTTTCCTTTAGGTTTTGGTTTACCCTCCAGGGTGGTTGTTTGAAAAATGCATGTGTTTACCGTCTTCCTCTTTTAACCAGTTAGTGCGCCACGCGCCTTCTTTGTACCTTGCTTTTATTCACCTTTTCATCAAAGAAGCACGTAGAGATCGTTTCCATGCGTGACCGAAATTTTAGCAACTTCCACTGCTGTGGACAGTGGACTGCGCTTGTCTGGGGAGCCACAGGCTGACTTCCCAGCCGAGGGGGAGACGACTTGAGGGCCAAATCTGGGCTGGGCTCACGTCCTGGCTTTGTCACTTCTGAATTATGTGTTATGTGGCAGAGCTTCTTTTTCTTTTTAATAGACCTGATTTTTAGAGCAATTTTAAGTTCACAGCAAAATTGAGTGGAAGTTTCACAGATTTCTCATATGCCCCCCGCCCCCAGACGTGCACAGTCTCCCCCCCATCCCGCCCAACCCCCTGAGTGGTACCTTTGTTACAAACCTGCATTGACACATCATCACCCAAAGCCTTGGCAGACTTTTTTTTTTTTTTTTTTGGTGGTACGCGGGCCTCTCACTGTTGTGGCCTCTCCGTTGCGGAGCACAGGCTCCGGACGCGCAGGCTCAGCGGCCATGGCTCATAGGCACAGCCGCTCCGCGGCATGTGGGAACTTCCCAGACCGGGGCACGAACCCGTGTCTCCTGCATCGGCAGGCGGACTCTCAACCACTGCGCCACCAGGGAAGCCCCTTGGCAGACTTTTGAGCCGAATTTTTCCAACTTCAAGATGGAAATTTTATGTCACGAGTCGGTTTTTAAATTTTTTATTAAATGAGAATACATAGGAGCCGAGTTTGTAGTAGGTAACACCAAATATCAGTGGTGGAAGTTTGTATGTAGCCACCAGAAATATTTTTAGGAATGAAGACTGCAAATCATTTTGTTCACCTGGGAGGGAGAAGGGAACTGGAGTCCCTCGTAGGCACCTGACTCTTGACACCGCTGATTCCCTCCAGATTTCTGGAGAGGGTCTCTGGCAGCAGCAGGGGAGTGAGCAGGGGCTAATGCCTGATGTTTAGAGCCTGCAGGACTGCGGGACGCGCTCTGTGTGTCTAGTCCAGTTTGCATATTCTTGCCTTTTTAATGTTTATTTATAAGCACACAGAGCAAAATAATTTCTGTTAGTTTATTAATTTATGTAAAGCAAATTCAGTGCATACATTTTTCCCTTTGATTTTTTCCCATTGTCAGACTACAGGAAGCAATCAGGCTGTATGTAGCAAGACTGTTGAATGAGCAGCTTCACGCTCCTGCAGGGAGGGGTCCTTCTGCTGCTCGTTCTAAAATGACACCATGATTATTAACTAACATTCACAGCACAGCAGTTACATTCAGTTTTCCATTAAGTGTCTTCCTTTCTAAACTTTCTTAAACTTAAAGCTGAGTAATTATCAAATGGGTGATTTAATGCCACATTGCCGTTGTGTAATAGCAAACAGAGCTTTCTTTGGAATATCAGCAGGAGGGTGCCCCATGGGGTCACTTCCTCTTAAGAGAACTTGTCTCCCTGGGATGAACCTCTGGGATCAGGCCGTCTCGTGGTCCGGAGTCTCAGCCTAAGCTGTGTGGGTGTCTTACTCTGACCAGGTGCAAATAACTAGGATGTAAGCATGCTGCTCACAAGGTGTACGAACCTGCAAAGGCTTCCTCTCAAGAGCCATGTTTTAGAATTCCTTGAGCCAAGAAAATGGTTTTTTTCATCTGTCTAACATATCTTTTGTTCTTATGAGAGATGAAACAATGGTAAATTAAAAGTATGCTGGTTTAAATATATTTTTTATTATAAAATAAACACAGATACAGAAGAACTGCATTAATCAAATATACAGATTAATGAATGAAGTGGACACTGTCCAGTGAAGCGATGGAACTGTGCCGGCCACACCCAGGACCCCTCCCCTGTGCCCTGCCCCCAGGACAGGCCCCTCCCACCAAGGGGACCACTGCCCTGACTGTTCTAGGAATAACCTCCTTGCCTGTTCTTGCAGTTTTCTCACCCGGATGTGCCCCTCAAGACAGGTTAGTCTTGCTTGGTTTGGTTTGTTTTGTTTTGTTTAAAGTAGGCGTTCAGACATGACTTTTCTTATAATAAGTAAAAGAGAAAGAACCTGAAGAAATTTTTTTCCATCTAAAATTATTATGAAGAAATATAAATGAGAATTTTACAGTGGAATACACAACAGAAGTGACTGCTAAAAGTACATCTTGGTTGTATATATGTTTTCAGAATTGTAGCTTTACTTAAAAGGGAAAGGATCACTTTGGTGCCCAAAGTGAACCATCCCGTAGCTTGTTTCAGGAGAAGCTCCTCTTGGTGGCGGGTGTTGGGCGAGTGCTGTGAGCTGACCACGCTTTACTCTCACCTGCGTGCGCACCTGGGACACCTGAGAGGTGGGCTTGACTTCCTTAACACCCCTCTCTTCCGCAGTAACTACTCAAGTTTGTGAGACTGGCATGAAAACGCTCACGTTTATGGCTCTCAGAGCTTCATATACCTCACGCTGAGTATCAGTCAGTGGCAGGAAAACAGGGCTTTTCTGAAGTGTGGTTCCTGACTGCGGCATACACGGTGCCTGTTCTTTGATGCCTGCGACGTTAATTAAGTAAATACTTAGCAAATATTTACAGAATTAGTGACCGCTCCCGGGGGGCATGCAGCCTGGAGAGAGAATTCTGAAGACGGTGGGTAACTGCCGACCTGAACCACACGTGTGGTGCGGGGAATCTACGTGCCAGTCCGAGCCGGGGGTCAGCCCGTTTGTGCATGGGGTGGGTCGGGAGCTGTATTTCGCAGAAGGACACGTCGCCTCATCACTTTGCTCATGCTACGCACATTTCACCTTTCCCGGGGGTTTTAGCTTTCTCATTTTCTGTTTGCTTGTTTGATAAACCAGACATGCATGGAAATTCTCACGCAGATTGTTGGGAAGGTCTTCGCTGAGTAGGGTTTAAGTAGGAGTTGCTTGGCAGTGGGTCACTGAGAAGCTTTTCCATCTTAATTGAAGAGACAATAAGTTCATGAGTTGGTTTATCTTGATAACAAAATAAGCTCGAAAAAGAGGAAAAGGCCACAGGACTCAGCAATTAAGTTGGCATGAAAGGGCACGGACTAGGAGTTTAGTGAGATTAATTCTCTAAAATATTTACTGCAAATTAGTAGAAGACTTTTTGAAGATGATTAAGCAAAATAAAATGGTTTTCACCGCAACTGCATTCTTTTTTTTTTTTTTTTTTTTTTTGCGGTACGCGGGCCTCTCACTGCTGTGGCCTCTCCCGTTGCGGAGCACAGGCTCCGGACGCGCAGGCTCGGCGGCCATGGCTCACGGGCCCAGCCGCTCCGCGGCATGTGGGATCTTCCCAGACCAGGGCACGAACCCGTGTCCCCTGCATCGGCAGGCGGACTCTCAACCACTGCGCCACCAGGGAAGCCCCTGCATTCTTTCTTGATTAAACATCTGACATTTGTGTTTGCCATACTGTGTTTAACCATTAGGTAATGTTTCTTTAAGTTGACTTTCATACATAAATACACGTATTTAAGAAGGGAATTAGCCATAAATAGAAGGTAATTATATTAATAAGGACGACTAAAAAGCAAGGCAGTATGACCAGATTCTAGCAGGCACTGAGCCTGTCCTTTGGTTGTTAAAAAACAATGGCGTGATTGGCTCTGTTCCACTTAACAGCTAAGAACTGGAGACCCTTCCCCCGGCACGTTGAGGAGGGTTGAAAGGGCACGAGCGCCTCCCGGGGCAGCTCTCTGACCCTTGCAGACCCTCGGTGTCGTCATAGGTGAGGAGGGCGTGGGTGGTGGTGACCACAAGGGTATTATGAGGACGGGACAGGGCGGGTGCTGGGAAGGGTGGCACGCGTGTGCTCCCCGTGACGTGTGCCAGGCTGTCACTCAGCGCCAAGTCTGAAGTTAGCTCCTGAACCGCTGGTGGCCCCCACTCCAGCCTGGTGACACAGCTTAGAAAAACCAGGGTGTGCAAAGCGGGCAGACAGCCTGGCTGTCTTCATCCACCTTCCTTGGCATTTTCCCCACCATGTCAGCGGAGGTGGGACCCAGGACCCATGCTGGCACCATGCTGTGTGTACCCCTTTCCCTTTGCTGAAAAGCGCTGTCCGGCACACAGAGCGTGTGGTCAGCACGTGAATGTCTGGGCTGGTGGAGGGAGGAGGTGCAGGGCCTCCAGGTGGTCTGGGGAAAGAGAGGCAGGCGGCTGTGGGCCTCCCCTCCCCTGCCGGTGGGCAGAGATGCTGCGGCTCCTTCAGAGGGTCTGGGGGTTAAATGAGTTCACGCACTGCCAGCTTGCGTGCACCCCAGCGATAGTGGTGTTGGGGCGTGTTGCTGTGTATGCTCACCAGTCGAGGTACGAGGAGAAGATAATCTTTCTAAACTCTTAACTTTGATGTACGTTAAGACTCGTAGAAGTGCAAAAACAGTACAGAGAATTCTTGTGTACCTGACAATTTTCTTACGTTGTTTTAATATTGAAATAACTGGGGATAATTTGGGGGGTTTTTGTGTGTTTTAGTGCATTCCTCACTCTTAGCTGGTGAAGAATGGGGGAGCTGGAAGGAACCTACCGCGTCCTGCAGATCCCAGGGACACGCCTAGGCGCCCAGACCCCCGCGGGCGTCAGCACCCTCGAGCCTGGGCAGGGCCCCTCGGCAGCAGCGGCGTGGCCAGCGGCCAGGACGCCCATCCGAGTGCAGCTGCTGGACAGCTCCGTCGAGGTGTTTGACGTTGAGGTAAGAAGCGAGATTCCTGGAGGCCTAGTTCCTCGCGTTTTCCAGAAGTCGGGTAATATTTGGTATTATGTACCAAACTCCATTTTGCTGGTTAGACTTTGCCTGTTTGTCAAGTCGCCCATGAGTGGCTGGGCTGGTAATAAAATCCTTGGGAACTCCGTCTGCGTTTCCCCTTTTAGTTTGGGGAGTGGTGTTCTCCTGACTTAAAATTCTGACGTAATGTGGTCTTGACATTCTTCTCTTTTGAGAGGCTGGCTGAGAGCCACGCAGTGCAGACTGGAACCAGCTTGTCTCCACCCAGGTCCTGGTGGCCGAGCCGCTGGGTGAGGGACGCCCCTTAGCCTCACAGTGTGTCCTCGTCTGAATGTGAGGGTGACTCAGGTCCCCGCTTCCCAGGGGGGCTGGGGTGAGGGCAGAGCACTCAGTACACGAAGAGCCTGGCACAGCGCTCGCACAGGGCTTGTCTTTCTAGGTCAGCAGTAGGGACGTTTTTATTGTGAAAATTCTCCAATAATACATTGCACTGGTAATGCTGGCAAAGACAGTTGAACATAGCAAACGTTTGGGAGCGTCTTCTCTGATTTTCTAAATGGCACTAGGATGAGCGTCCTTTTAAAAAATTACTTATTTTCACAAGTAACGCAGGAATACATTCTTTTTTCTAATATTTTTATATTGGTTTAAAGTAATACCTTTGGAAGCATCCCCTGCTCTTAATGTCACAAAGTAAAGACGAGAGAATGAACTTAAACTTTAGCAGGAGGTTTATTTATGCTTGGGGAGAGGTCCAGATGCTACACAGAAAATAGAAAGATGATTGAGGAGCTGTGGGCCCGGTGTGAAGAGGCCTAGAGGAAGCCTTGAGGCTCCCGCAGAGCCTGATGGCAGGATGCCTTGTGTGAGAAGGCAGAGGTGAGGAAAGAGGTGAGCACGGTCGGGGGCGGGGAGCGGAGGGGAGAGGCCAGCTGGGGGGCTTGAGGAGTAGAGGTGCCCTCCTGCTTGGAGCCCAGGGTACACACTGAGTGTTCGATGGCAGGTATCTAGTGCCTAGATTCCTAGTGTCTGAACTCAGGGAACCCTGAATGCTTCTTTTAGGTCTTATTTGAGGAAGAAACCAGATGTCATTTCGTCAGGGCAGTGGTAACTGGAACTGGTAGGGCCTGTCTGTCCACCTTCCCCGGTCACTCCTGTGTTGCAAGAAGCAGCCTTTGCAGGGCAGGGAGTTGGGAACAGGCCACCTTTGAGCCCTGGAGGGGGGACTGGCTCTCGGCCCCTGTCTTACCGTACTCGGATGAGTCACCTGGAGAAACAGGTTAAAGATCTGGGAATTAGCTGGGCTCCCACGCCTTTTCCGGACCAATGTTTGGAAGAATTCCCACCGTGTAGCCGTCCTATGATAAACGCATTTGCTATGGTCTAGGCTTAAAAGAGGTTCAGATTTTTTGAAAGAAAGGAAGGAAGAAGAGAAAAGAAAAGAATTGCATTAGTTAGGGTTTACCTTTAGAGCATCTTTTTCTGGCCTGCTTAATGGTCTTTATCAACTAAACCTAGGACCAGAAAAGGAAAAAAAGCACACATTTATCGTTGAGTCATAAATAAGATGTAATCCTTCTCTGAGAAATTTGCTTTTAAATCAGAGATAGCATTTTATAAAGGTTCAGAATATAGAGAGCATGTCGAAGTTTTGATAAATTGAGATTGTTGTTTCTTTTAACCAAATAGAACCATCATGTTTGGTATTTTGATAGACCTGGCAGAGTTACCAGAAAGTAAAGAATCAGATTGCTGTTGTATATCCCGAGTTGGATGGGGTCCTTTTTAAATTGTGCTACTCACTGATGCATACCTTTCAGGAGAAGTTAAAACTCAATGTATTTTTTTGTAAGTTAGTTGTATTCTATTTCTAAGTACCCTAGTCGTCTACAACTGTATCAGTTAGCTTTGCTGAGTAACACGTCACCCCCAAACCTGATAACTTAAAAGAGCAAATATTTAATATTTTCTGCATGTCTGAGTGTTGGCTTGGAGGTTCTTCTGGTCTGAGTGCTGAGTGGTCTAGGATGGCCTCGCTCACATGTCTGGGGCCCCAGCTGGAACCTCTCTCCGTGTGGGACCTCACTCTCCAGCGAGCTGGCGTGACCTTGTGCGCATGGTGATGGGAATGCGCTCGGTGGTGGCAGCTGTGAGGTCCCTGAGGCCTAGGCTTGTAATTCACACGTGTACCTTCTGCCGGGTTTGGCTGATCAAGCAGGCTGCCAGGCAAGCCCAGGTTGAAGAAGTACCCAGAGTCTGTGGCCATTTTCTGCAGAGGCTCTCACACGGCTGCTGCCAGGGATCGGGTGCACAGTCCCTGGAAAGTCTCTGAAGCTCTGGTATCTGGTGTCAGCGGGCTGGGCGGGTTTGCCAGATGAAGCACTTTGTGGGGCCTCCTCCGGGAGGGGCTGCTGGAGAAGGTGCATCTGCCCTGCTCCCTCCTCCCCAGTGTCTCCCGTGGGCCGCCGTTGCCAAGATCCGAGGTGCAGAGCCCAGGCTGGGTCTCCCTGGGCCTGCCGCCCCTGCCCCACCATCCCTGGTCACCGATCTTGTCTGTCGTTCCCCCGCCCGCCCTGTACAGTTGGACTGAGAGACACACTGTGGTTGGGTGACTTTCGCTGTGGGTCTGTGGGTGGTATAGACTTGAGGTGCCGGGCAGTGAGGTCCCGGGGCGGATGGCCTCTGTTGGTGGCACAAAAGGCGGGTCTTGGGGAAGACGCCCCCACCCCGGAGCTGGCCGGGCTCTCCTCCTGGAAGGCAGTTCCTGGGCGGCGAGGCTGCTTCCGTGTTTGGACCAGTGCCGGTAAGTGCGGTCGACCGAACGGAAGCGAGGGTGAGCTTGGGTAACGTGCTTTCGTTAGGAGTTTTTAGTTTTTCCCTCTATGGCAACGTCTTCTGACGCTAGGGATTCAGGTGTTGTGTTTTGTGTCTGGGGTTTTGGGGCCGTCCACACCTATCTTAACGGTGTGCTGATTTGGTTTATTTTTTACTAAGTATTCTGCAGTATTGTCTGCAGACTCGCAGGGTTGATGTGCAGCCGGTGGCACCTGGCCTGGTGTGGCCTGTGTGGACTCCCCTGGTTGATACTGAAGGTTTATTCTTAGGGGAAGAAGTTGACGTTTAGTTATTTTTGAAACGGCGTCTTCTGCTGGTGCCTGTGGCTCTTCACAGGCAGAGTCTGTGGCTCATCGTCTCCTGCTGCTTCAGCAGCTGAGGCTGCCCTCCCCCAGCCCTCATTCCCTTCCTTCAGAGGGGTGAGCGCATCCGCGAGCCCCTGGCTCCGTCTGTCTCCCACCCACTAGGGCGGTGATGTGAGCTTTGCTTCTGCCAGCTCAGGCCCCACGATACCGGCCAGCGCTCTGAGAGTCAAAACCGCTGGCCACACGGGAGCCTTTTCTTCCTCTGGCTTTCTCTCTCGGTCTGCAGTCCTGCTGCCCCAAAGTCAGGGTGGCTGGAAGCTGGAAGCTGGGGTCTGTCTGCTTTTTCCTGAGCAGCACTGGATAAGCTGAAACTTTCTAGCAACTTTATTGAGATATAACCGTACAGTCACCCACGTAAAGCGTGCAATTCAGTGGTTTTTAACGTATTCACAGAAACGCAGAGCCATCACGCCGGTCAGTTTTAGAACGTTTTCATCCCTCCCAGTTGGAAACCCCACGCCCTTTAGCTGTCGCCCTCGCAGCCCCAGCATCCTCAGTGCCCCCCCCCCCCGCAGCTCTAAGCAAATCGTGACCTGGGTCCTGTTTCCACAGACCCCTTTCATCTGAGCAGAGTCGTACGTGGCTTTTTGTGACTGGCTTGTCACTTAGCGTGGTGTTTTAGGGGTTCATCCACGTTGTTGGACGTCTCAGCACTATTTTCCTTTTTGTTCCCCACTCGTCAGCTGGTGGACGTCCCACCTTTGGGCTGTTGCGAACGTCGCTGCTGTAAACATTTGGGTACAGGTTTTGTGGGGACATGCGTTTCCACTTGTCTCGGACAGACCCCTGGGGGTGGGACTGCTGAGTCGTACAGCGACTGTGTGTGATCGTTTGGGGAACTGGCAGACTGCTTTCCAAAGCAGCCGCACCATTTATATCCACCAGCCACTTTATGAGGCTTCCAATTTCCCCACGTTCTCAACTACACTTACTATTCTTTGACTTTTTGATTCTAAACATCCTAGTGGGTTTCAAGTGGTATCTCGTTGTGGTTTGAGGTGAAATTTTTAAAATTTTTAATGGCTAAAGAAAGGAAGGTTTTCAGCCCAAAAATATGAGAATTGTACCATTAAAAATTTATCTTTGGGGCTTCCCTGGTGGCGCAGTGGTTGCGAGTCCGCCTGCCGATGCAGGGGACACGGGCTCGTGCCCCGGTCCGGGAGGATCCCACATGCCGCGGAGCGGCTGGGCCCGTGAGCCATGGCTGCCGAGCCTGCGCGTCCGGAGCCTGTGCTCCGCAACGGGAGAGGCCACAACAGTGAGAGGCCCGCGTACCGCAAAAAAAAAAAAAAAAAAAAAAATTATCTTTGGGGTGGTTCCTTGGATAGATTATGAGTAATTGTGGAGTTAACCGTCTAGCTGTGGCCCAGTTACCACACGTGGAGTGAACATTTCTACATCCCAGAGTTGTGAGGACCACAGAGAAAGCAGGCTGAGGGCAGGCCCTGGAGGCCCTGGGAACTGAAGCTGGTAGAGGAGCGGGAGCTGCCGTGTCAAAATTTTTAAAACATTTTAAAGTTTCATTTAGACTTTTACTGACACTGTATTTATTTTTATTTATTTTTAAAAGATGTATTTGTTTGTTTATTTATTTATTTATTTGGGCTGTGCCGGGTCTTAGTTGCGGCATGCGGACTCTTAGTTGCGGCACGCAGGATCTAGTTCCCCGACCAGGGATCGAACCCGGGCCCCCTGCATTGGGAGCGTGGAGTCTTACCCACTGGACCACCAGGGAAGTCCCCTGCAATTGTATTTTTAAATCAATAT